GCTCCTTCGACTTCATTGTTATCTAAAAACAATTAAAAACCCAAAAATAATGCATGTATAGGTTGTGCTTGGTTTGACTTGGTCCAACTATGAATGCCTTATTGTTCTTAGGAGTGCAACTTGGGTGGGTTGAGTTAGGTTGAGGATCAACACAAGCCCAACCCGAAGTTTCAAACCTCAAGCTTTGGCTTAGATTAATTTACTAAAGACTAAAAAAAGTTAATCTATATAGATGAACTTAATTATGACTGCAACTCAATTTTATATATTTACTAATCTTTAAATATTTTTAAATATTTAAGCAATATTTATAAAAAAATGTAACATTTAATTACTAATAAAATAAAATAGAATACTAATAGATAATATGGAAAATAATTATTCTATTAAGTAATTTGTTATTTTTGTTAAAAATTATTATTATAATTAGGCCAAATTATTAAATTATTAAGTTATTTTTGTAACAAATTACTAAAATAAAGATTAATTATTTTAAGCAACATTAAATTCCTTCCTTATAATAGTTAATGGTTTCTATTGTTTTACTTTCTCTTGAAAATTCATGTGCACCAAACGGGTCCCCAATAGTTTTCAATTAAAAGTTAGGGTTTTAGGTTAAATTTTAGTTTTTGGCAGTGTTTAAAATTAGGGTCTTTATAAAAATCAAAAGATGGTAGGAACAAATATGTGCTTATCAAAATCGAATATCTGCTCCATTTCACCTTTTAAAAGGGCAAATTTCTTAAACCCCTAAAGTTTTTGACTGTTGCTTAAACCTCCCCTAAAGTTTGGTAATTGCAATCACCTCTCTTAAACTTACTAACATAGTTGCAAGTAGACCTCCTTTTAGCATCTTCTAATAAGAGACACAAAAATGTCTAAAATACCCATGCAGTTAACACTAAATCTGGTTTCTACAGAGAAAACAATACAAACTTTATGAACGAAGGAAAAAGAGTTTAAAGATGTAGCTTTACCTTTGCACGATTGATATGAAGGATACATTTAGAAAATAAATAAACTTTGTAAAAGAAATTGGAAGGGTTTGGGGTAATAAATTAGTAATTGGTATGAAGAGAGATTTGGAAAATAAACATTTTGGTTGAAAGGAAACTATATGAAGTATTTTGCACATTTTCATGCATTTTATTAGAGGATTCTTTTCAAGGGAGGTGATTACAATTACCAAAATTCAGGATATGTTTTAGCAATGGTAAAAATATTTTATGGGAACAGACTCCAAATAAGATCCATAAACGCTAGGGGTGTTCATATTAAATGTCAAACCGACCAAATCGGCCCAACCCAACCCGAGTTGGTCGGTTTTTCAAAGTCACTGATCCATTTCCGTTTGTATGAAAGAATAAATCGACAATTGGGTTCGGTTTCGGTTTTCATGTAATTATTCAAAACCAAAGCCAAATTTAACCGAACCAATCCTTTATTTTTAAGTAATTATTAATTAGTCCCTACCCTATATGTTAAATGTTGATATATTTTATTTGAACTTTGAAAAAAATTGGTTATTTATGATAAAAACTAAAAACGTAAAATCAATACAAATGTAATACAATTGTACAATATTTAATTCAATTTTGTATAAATTTAAATATATATTGACAAAAAAATCAATTTTGCATAAAAAATTAATCGATTTAAATATATAATTTGGTTTTACATAAAAATTAAAAAAAAATAAACTTAAATATAAATAGATATTTACATATAAATGTTTTAATTTAAAATATATATAAAAACCCGCTAAACTGATAAATCGACCCTTCATATTTATGTCAATTTTGCTTCACAGTCAATCGATATTGATTTAGTGAAAATACTCAAACCGATTCAACCCCACCCGTAAACACCCCTGATAAATGCAATAGTTGAACCAGTCAAGCTAATTATTTTAGTGGTGTAGGCGATCTTTGTGGCGGGAAAATTCAATAATGACTAATGAGTCCAGTCCTGACTCCTGAGGTAAATGTGCCTGAGCGGTAAAAGGTTCAACCGTTCAAGACAAACCTTAAACCTCATACGGTGAGCACACCGACTTCACTGCAACACTTCACTCAATTCCAATTTCTCAGTCGATCGATCCCCATTTTGCCACGTGGGCTCTGGATTCCAATCTTGGAAACATCACACGCAACATGGACATGCCACCAGAATGCACGTGTGCCATTTACCCGTCGGCCGTAACCGCGTCCTTGTCCTGGTCCATTTGTATTAAATAATTCTTCTCAGCTTCTGGCCTTGGATTGAATCCACCGATGCGATAGCCTCTGGGTAGTTGCATTACTATTAACAGTCTTTCACAATCCACAACCACGAACAACCAGAGGACTCCAGATGAAAATTTTCTCATACAACGCATCGAAAGGTTAGTTTTCTTCAAAACCCTTTTGTATATTTTTCCAAGCTTCTGCAAATATTTAGCCGAGATGGCCTGTCAAGATGGGAGTTTGTTTATAACCAGATGAGATTATCAATTCCCATTTCTTTGGGTCATTTTGTGTTCTGAGATTTCTGGTTTAGCTGGGTTGCTTTTATTTCTTCAATGGCTACAGTTGTTTCCAAGTCCCAGTCTAGAGCATACCTTGTATTCCTCAATATCTCCTTTCTGTTGTTATTGTGTTTCTTAATCAGGGCTCAATTTAATTCCTCAGAGTCCCTGGTCCTAAGTGGTTTAAGTAATTATCAGAATGGCAGCGGTGTGCATAGTTGTGAACAGTTTCAGAAGCTTGAAAGTTACAAAGAAAAGTGCCTCTACCTTAAAGCCAATAGCCCATGTGTGTCTCAAGGTTTTCTTGACAATCTTTATCTCTTCTATTGCGTATATGGGAGATGGCCTGTTCTGGGCTATTGCCTTCTTTCAGTTTGGCTTCTTGTGCTGTTTTATCTATTGGGAAACACAGCTTCTGAGTATTTCTGTCCTTCACTTGAAAACTTATCCGGTGCCTTGAAGCTCTCCCCCCCTATGGCCGGAGTAACCCTCCTTTCTATTGGCAATGGCGCGGCTGATCTTTTTTCCAGCCTGGTGTCCTTCACAGAGATTGGGACAAGTGGTATTGGCCTTAACAGTGTGGTAGGTGGGGCTTTCTTTGTCTCCTGTATTGTGGTTGGAGTCATAAGCATTTCCATGGGAAAACGAAGGATTTCAGTTAACAAATCTGACTTTCTAAGAGATGCTTCCTTTCTCCTTCTAGGAGTTATATTAGTTCTTGTAATTGTGATAATTGGAGAGATCAATTTGTGGGGTGCAATGGCTTTTACTTCTCTCTACTTCTTGTATGTCTTTGTGGTCTACATCATGCACTCACGTAGAAGGAAAAACAGAGAAGGCTCTGTAGTGGTTTTGCCTATGAAGCATGATGATGAATTGGGTGTGCCCATTCTAGGTTGTAGTGGGGACAGAGAAGATCTTCAAGATATCCATTGTATAGAGGCTGATGGAAGCTTTTTTAGTTGGAATTCATCAATTTGTTTTGGTAGATTTCTGTTCATTCTGCTATTGCCCCTGTACTTACCAAGGAGAATGACTATTCCTGTTGTTTGTGAAGAGAGGTGGTCTAAGCCATTTGCAGTTATTTCACTTACATTAGCACCAGTTCTCTTGGTAGCCGTTTGGAGTTCAGGGAACATGGGCTCCAAAGGCAGCCTGGTGTCCTATATAATTGCTGGAGTAGTAGGGATTAGTTTTGGTGTAATTGCATTTGTGAAAACAGGCAATTACAGTCCACCCAAGAAATGCTTACTCCCTTGGTTTGCAGTTGAGTTTCTGATGAGTGTTACTTGGAGTTATATTATAGCAGAGGAATTGATTGGCCTGCTAGTTTCATTTGGGAAGATATTTGGGATAAGCCTTTCTATTCTAGGACTCACTGTGCTTGCTTGGGGCAACTCATTAGGGGATTTAGTAACCAACTTTACACTTGCAGTAAAAGGTGGACCAGATGGTGCTCAGATTGCAATGTCAGGGTGTTATGCAGGGCCAACCTTCAACACATTTATTGGATTGGGCTTATCTCTTGTGATTTCTTCTTGGAATGCTTATCCAGCGTCTATTATGATTGCTCAAGACAAATTTTTCATGGAGACTATCGCCTTCTTAGTAGGTGGGTTGCTTTGGGCTCTTGTGGTTTTGCCTAGTCGAAACATGAAGGTTGATGGGGTTCTGGGAGCAGGACTTTTAACCATATACTTGACTTCCATTTCTTTGAGGATTGCTCAAACACTAGGGTTTATCAAAACTTCACCAACCAGACAGTTATTTACTTTGTTTGATTAAAAAGATCACTTCTGACTAGTACATATTTTTTTTTTAACTTATCTCTTCTCGTCAGTCGAACTATGATGTGTGAAGGATAATCTCATGAATAATATTCATGAGAAGTGATGATGATGAAAGAATTGCCTCCAACTCAAGCGAGGTTTATTGTACATATATAACTGTAAGCATCAATGCTTTTGTTTAATAACAGCATGAAATATCTTTAATCAATCAGCAATTCTCTCTCCTCTCTCTCTCTCTCTCTCGGTACATCTCTCTCACTCTGTTACCTTTTCTTCTTCTACATAGAACCACTCAGACAGGCATCACCCTCGTTTAATAACAGCATGAAATATCTTTAATCAATCAGCAATTCTCTCTCCTCTCTCTCTCTCTCTCTCGGTACAAGAATATGCAATACTCTGTTATCTTAATAATTGATTTCCATATAACCAGTATGCAATGTTGGAGAATTCTGATAATTTTTGTCAGAAACTTGATAAGATGTCTGAAAAAAGCAATACCCATCTGATTAATTAATAAATTAGGAAAAAAAAAACTAAACTCGGATGAACTGAATGATCTTTGTTTGAATTATCTTTTACAAATTGTCCTACCCTAGTTCACATCCATATCAATGTGGGCAAGAAAGTTCCTAAAAGGGTTGATGCTTCTAAATTCCTACTGTTTCATTGTAAAATTATTACATTACAATCTTCTCTAAATTTATGTATTTCACCCTTTCAAATATGGTTCTTACTGCTATTTACTGTTATTCATTGTTTCAACAAATGCATGATCAGTTTTATCATGAATTAATTAAATTTTATTGAATTCAAAAATTTAATAAAATTTTTTTATTGTTATTCTTATCTCTCTTTTAATCAAGTTTCACTTTTACCTCTACAAAACTCGACTGTTTTGGCAATTTTTTTTCCGTTTCAAGTGTCATCACCTTTTGATGGTAGCAAACTAGATGAGTTGTACAGTCTTTTGGTTGGTTGGTTGTAGTTGGGAGTTTGGGGTCTTGGGATTGAATCCCGCCTCGCCAGGATTAGGAGTGGCAACTGGGCGGGGCACCCCTCCCTGTCCCCACCCCGTAGTCAAGATACTTTGCTCCGTCCCTGCCCTGTCCCTAGTGTCACCGTAGTCAAGATACTTTGCTCTATCTCCGCCCTGTCCTTAGTGGCAGGGCATGTTCGGAGCGGGGCATCCATTCCCTGTTGGGGATGGGGAATTCTCGAATTTTCTTCGCTCCAAAGCAATTACTTAAAGGGTATTTTAGGAATTGAATTATAATACTTTAGCGGTAATTCAAAAATAGAGTTATGGGACCTTAGGATTTTAAGAATTTAGAAAAAACTTAGATATTTTAAATATCAATATTAAACTTAGAGATATTTTACTAATTTACCTTTGAGTTTGGAGAATTATATACAAAACCTGTTCCTGCTCCGTCCCCGGTTCGGGGAAAAATATTTTCCCTGTCACTGCCCCATCCCTGTTTAGGGTTGGAAAAAACCCACCTCATTTGGGGTGGGGTGGGGTGGGGTGGGGCCCCAGTTTTATGGGGGAAATTGTCATTCTTAAACAGGGTTATTTCTGCCTAGGAAATTAGGGGCTGTTTGGCAAGTCTTTGTAGGTAGATCTTTCAACAGCCCTGTAGACAAGAAGACGCACTGAGCTTTTGGTTTGCGTCATAAGACCAAAAGCTTCATTTGAAGCTTTCCAATTTTTGGCTTTTTCGGCATTTCTATGCATTCATCTTCAGGTCTTTCGGTCTATATGATACCAAACGGAAAAGACCATTTCTTGGTCTTTTGAACTTTCCACAGACCAAAATGTGTATTGAAAAGACGCATCAAACACCATCTAAGGCCCTGTTTGGTTCGTGGGAATAGGGGTCTGGAATAGGAATTGGAATGGGTTATTTTGATTCCAACTGTTTGGTTGGATGGAATCGGAACCTCATTCTTATTCCTGCTGGAATGGCATTCCCCTATTTGAGGGAATGACCATTCCCTGCCCCTCCCTTGAGAATGAAATCCTATGCTTGCTGATTATTCCTATTTCCATTTCTATCTGAACCAAACAGACTATAGGAATGAGCCATTCCAATTCCAATTTTGGAGGATTTTGATTCTGATTCCGACTGTAAACCAAATGGACCCTAAGTTTCAATAAGCTAACAAGTTAGTGTGTGGGATATGGCTTGTCTTACAACTGTGGTCCTACACTAGTTATCATATATCTCTTATCAAGTAAGCGCATACAACACATGGCATTAAATAGAAATATTGTTAGATTTGTGTTTGACATCAGGTTGGGTTTAGACCAGGGTTCATATTCAGGGTTGGTCTTGAATTGGCCCTTTAACTTGATCCATTCCATCTAATTATACCTAGTTTATCATAAAGAGGCAAGAGGTTGAGAGATTTAAAGAGGCAATGAGAAATTTAATGGGGAGGGGAGATGTCACAAACATTGAATATTGGAAAGAGAGTTTTAACAATGAACTTATTGCAAAGAGCAATGATGAATTTTATTAGAGATAGTTAACACCTAAGAGTGTTTTTATTTTAACTTCTTACTTTTTTAATAAAAATAAATAACTACATATGAGAAATGTAGGGTAAGGAGGTTTTGTGAGCATTGAGGTGAGAGAACTTTATGGGCTGGACTGGGCTAGGCTTAACATGCTTGTCTGCTCCTCACAGAGCGTTCCTTACAACAACCTCACATCACATTCTGACCATACATCGGAACATTTTGCATACAAGGTTCCAAGTATTGATACAGGGTGATACGTCGGTAGGGTGTATCCTATCGGTACACTTTTTTTTTTTTTTTTTTTTTTTTAATTTTTTTTGAATCTGGTTCAGAGGGGTTGGTTTAAGGTTAGTCTACTCCCTGAACCACTTGCCGATCCAAAACACCTTTTGTAGGGGCGTATTGGGAGACTCCGATACGATATGTATCGGCCGATTTTGAACCTTGCTCCCATACTTATATGTTGTTATTGATGGACAGATGTTGCCAGTACATGGTGGGATGTGCTGTGAGGAGCAAATCCAAATTCAACTTAGGCCTAGTCCAATAATTGATGTGCTAGCTTTTTTTGGTATTGATTGAACCAACAGTATGTGCTTCGGTGGTCATCTGCATATTGGGTTTTCTTGTCTCTATATATCTAAATTGGGTAGCGGTACAGACACTGAAGGGACAAAGGAAAGCACCATTCTCCGACTGTCTAAAGACTTCTTTCTCATTTGGCTGCTTCTCCCAGAATTTAAATGTTCAACTCAGCATACATGGAGGTGTAACCACTTAAGCGCAAGGTCGTATCCATTGAGGAAATCATGCAAGAAGAGGGTGAAATCCACATTTAAGGACATCATCACCATGTGTCTAGATCTTCCGGTAAAAATAAGTTCACTCTACTTTTTATTGCAGATTTTTTTAGCTATGTATTGTTGTTAGATTGTTACTACTACTACTACCTTGGTTTTAGTTTGATTTGATAAATGATAATGTTTGCATTTTAAGCTAGTTTTGATTGCTTAACTTCTTTCTCAATGTTTCCAGCCGGCCAATGACCTGGGCGGTCGGACCAGTGACCTGGTCACAATATCGTTTGGATCAATCTCTAACCCGCTATCTTGCAGAAAAGCCGTTGACTCGGTTTATGAGGTGGGCCTCACAGAAACAGCTTTTGAGCTAAGCTATGTTTTGGGGAAAAATCCACAGAGTGCAAATCATCTGTGAATCATTTTTTGGGCTGCCACTTCAGCCTCCTTGGATAGCTTATCCAAATACCTCAAAGCTGCTGAACCAGCTTTGCTGAATGTTCAGCTCAGCCCATCCAAATGGGCCTTATATTATTTTACTCTAAAAAATTGTTTTACGCAATTGACATCATTGGTATGGCCCTTATATTTTATTTTATTTTTAGAAATTGTTTTAATCTATTGACATCGTAGGTTGACTCCTTAGTCTCGTGGTTGAATTATTGACCAATTATCCGAAGAAAAAACGGACAAGTACGGATACACACGATGCAGAATTCTGAATTCCAGCCCCCCTACTACTAGTCCTCTCTCCCCTATAAACCACATCCTGCCCGTGAATTTGGCATCAATTCACGGTTAGGATGCATTCCCCCTGTACTTTGGGGCTATAAAATTCTGATTTGGGCTGATTGGTCATTCTCCCAAGAAAAAATGATTCAACCTCTAAGCTAGGTTTTAAAACATTATTTCAGTTAAGTAATGGTGAGGGATGATTTGGCTCAGTGACATCATGACATGTGGTGCCTTGAACTGTCTCAAGACATTTCAACGTCATATAGGCGACGGCTTCAGAAACACTTCTATCATACCTTGTCTACTTTAACTGTCCCGACACCACCTTGATAGGGCCGACCTACAAACACCTTGATAGGGTCAAAACGGCGGAGGTAGGTTGGTGACTTGCATGATGTGGTGAACGATCTCCATTATGTGTGGGTTATCGCCTCTGAATCCTTTGGGATCACGTCGCTTCATCGACAGAGTTGACTCTTGCTCCACATGCTTTGGAGGCAAATGAATAAGCTCTATCTCTTTACACGGAAACCACCTCTGAGCATAGCGGGCTAGTAAGCTGCGTATTCCTAGAGATCTCGGAGGCACTATATGAAACTCTATGGCAATTTGTGCCTATATAAAGGCATCCCATTGATCAGAGAAGGTGCACATGATTTAGCTTTCAAACTCTCTTGCACTCTCGCTTTCTAAGCATCTAAATACTCTTTACTAACTTAAGCATCATAGTGCCCACCCCAGGTAAAGCACCTTGAGTACTCTGACTTCTATCTTCTTGCAGCTTGGTTAGCAGACCTCATCAACCCAACGTCTAAGTTGTCCTCCAGTAGGGAGCACCAAATCATGCACCATCAATTGACACTGTTTGTGGGAACCACTACACAAAAGCTGAGTTTTCACCAACCCTATGACTAAGCGAGCAATGGCATCAACCAACGACAACAACAACAACAACGACAACTCCTGGATTGAGGGAACCCCCGCAGGGGGTAGAATTAGGGTGACCATCCTGGACAAGTTCTAGCAATATGGCCCGGACAGAATCTCCTAGCCCTAACTATGGAGCTGCCCCCGCAGGTCGAGCCCTCCATGATTTCCGTGAGAGTCGATTGCCAGTGGTTCCTAGAGCTGGCGCAATACATCCGTGGCATCAACTTGTGTGAGCAAAGCTAGGAGGATCACCTCACCGCGGTGGCGTGGACGCAACCCCCACAACAACACAATGATCCATTGATTCGTGGAGTGATCAACGTAAGCACCGACGAGTCCATAGTAGCAGGATGCAGTACTTCAACTGGTCGAACCCCAACTCGTGAGCTGGACCATGAGGAGAACTTGCCAAAGCGACCAAGATTGGAAGAGGTGATCTACTTCATCGAAGATGACACACGCGGGGTCTGCTACCCCCACGATGACACCCTTGTAGTTAAGCCCCTTATCCATGACTACGAGTTTAGTAGCTCAGTAGATATCATGTTCCTCTGAGCCTTTGAGCAAATGGGACTACAGAAGAAGGACCTAGTCCAACCCGACGTGCCTTTGGTTAGTTTCAACAGAAAGGTGGTCTCTTGGGCATATAAACTTGTCTGTAACTATAGGGACTGCACTGAACTGGACGAGGTTTCAACATGACTTCCTAGTGGTGGCAACAACTCTTTCCTATAATGCAATCTTGGGTGCTCAATTCTAAATGCCCTCAGAGCGGTGGTCTCCACATCCCACCTCGCAATGAAGTTCCTCATTGACCACAGAGTAGGAGTAGTGCATGGTGATCGACTCGAGTCATGAAAATGCTACGTGGTAGAATTCAAAAGCAAAGTGAAGATGTTGGAGATAGACCTAGAGCCACCCATAGAAAGCAACAACGGGAGAGCTCATCCAAAAGAGGACACAATCCTAGTGCCAGTCTCTGATACCAACCCTGGCAAGATGGTCCAGATTGGCTCACAACTCAAAGAACCCTTGTGCTCCGAATTGGTGATTTTTTTTTTTAAATTGAATATTGATGTTTTTGCCTAGTCAGTTGCCAACATGCCCAACATAGACTCTGATGAGGGGTAATCTGGTCCTCCCAATCGTACAGTGACACATGGCTTCCGGATGACATCTCGGCACCAAGTCAATGAGCTAGCTCAGTAAAATTAGGTCAGAGCATCTCACCCAAGCCGACCTCTACCTCGGCGAGATCGAACTAGCTAACACCATAGGATTACGACGAGCTGTCCTAGGAGTTGGTCGAGCTATAGGGACTTAAGGTGACCTGCTAAGGAGAGCTCGCTAACCACCCCCTACAGTTCCACCTCGGGAAGGCCGAGTTGGCAGCGACCTATTTTAGGAGCTAGCCGAGCTGAGAGGACCTAAGGCGACATGTGAGGAAGAGCTCACTAATCATCCCCAAAGCTCGCTACCAAAGACGCCGATAGCACGACCGTTATAACAACTCACTGTGTCACGCGCCTCGACTTCACTTGGACGAATCGTAACTCCCGCGAAGATCTCTCAACTGACACCTTAATGCGCCTGAAAATAAGGAAACAACTCCACAAAGAGCTCAAGACTGTTACCCTGAACCCCCAGAGCCCAGGAGCCTATGTAAGATGTCCAGATCCACCTAGAAAGGTATGCACACTGAAACACTTAAGCTCTCTCATACATTCCTACGAAATTCCCATATTGACTTAAGCATTGGAGTGTTCTCCTGGGTAAAACCTACCCGGACACTCTCACCCTTCTCTCTTTACAGCTCTTTCCATCTTGAACACACAGATACTAGTTCGGCCGTGCAGCTCGACACTGCTAGATCAGAACCTTGTTCGAGCTCAGTCACAGGATACGAGGGAGCGAGCAGACCGTGCATCATAAATTGGCGCTGTCTATGGGAAAACGTTACAAAAAGCTAAGTTCTCTATTACTGTTTTGAAAGATAAGAAATGGCCTACTTAAGCAACCAGCTTACCAATAACAACAACAACAACAGTGATAATGGCTGAATCCCCACTTTCACTATTGGACAGATCAACGTTCCTCTGCACCTTGTTACCGTACCAGAGAATATGAGCGCGCCTTCTCCTGCAGTTGAGTCTGCAGTGGCTCTTGTAGCAGTAGACGCGCGACACTTCTATGATCTGGTATGTTGTGCACGTGGAATGAGAGAGTAACTCAAATCCTAGGAAAACAAATTCATCTTTGTAGTAGGATAGCAGCAACCATAGCAACAACAGCTGCAACAACACCAACGCCAGCAAGTGCCTTTTGAGTAGGTACCTCATCACAGCTTGCAGGTGCCTCAAAATAATCAATAGGTACCTCTCCAGCAGAATGCCGACCTAAATCTGGTCGGCCACATCAACCTGGCCCCAGTCCGTAGCCAAATTCAAGGATCTAGCGGTGTACCATGGAACACCAACAACCAGCCCCCCATTGACAACACGACCCTCAATAACAACCAGCTACCGATGGATAGCCGAGTTGTGGCTCCAGTTGGGATTGAGGCCACAAGCTTGTTCACAGGGACCAAGAAAAAGCGTGGAAGGTGCGTGCACCGCGCTAGGAAGAAAAGCCACCTTGCTCCAACCAGGGAGGCATCGGGAAGCAAAGTGAACAACGAGGAAGAGACAACCAACAACAAGAGAAAGAAGAGAAGTAAATCTCCTAGAAGAAGCAGGTCACCTTGGAGCAGGCGTAGTAGCTCACCACGATGAAAAAGCAGGTTGCCACCTCAGAGCTCGACTCAACGACAAGCCACTCCACCTCTGTATAACAGCTCGCCTTTGACGAGCTGAAAAGATACCTTAGTTTGCTCCCTGTTGACCAAACCCGAGAACAGGGTCGAGCTCAAACTTTACCTCTCTGTAAGTGACGAAATGGTTAGCTCGGTCATAGTAAGAGAAGTCGACAAGGTACAACAACCAGTATACTACGTGAGCAAGGTCCTGCATGTTGCTAAGACAAAGTATCCTGATATAGAAAAGCTCGCCTTTGCATTAGTGCTAGTAGTTCGGAAGCTAAAGCCCTACTTTCAGGCCCACACCATCATCGTCCTGACCAGTCGACCTCTGAGGCAAATTCTTCAGAAGCCCGAGGTCTCCGGGAGACTGACGAGGTGGGCAATAAAGCTCAATGAATACGACATCCGTTATGAGTTGCGACCAACAATAAAAGCATAGGGTCTAGAAGATTTTATTGCCGAGTGCACTTTTAGCTCGCCAACCCCTAACGCGGCTGAGCTCGCAACAACATTGGAGGCTTCAACCAGTGCAACACTACCCCCAGCTCACGAGATAGCGAGCTAGGACAAGGAACCCTGGATACTCCATGTTGATGGCTCGTCTAATCAGGGTGGGAGCGGAGCTGGGTTAATACTCTACGGACCTAGTGAAGTAAAGTTGGAGTACGCGCTTCGGTTTTGATTCTAACAATGAGGCCGAATATGAGGCATTGCTAGCTGGCTTGGCACTAACAAAGGAAGTAGGAGCCAGACACCTTGTAGTGTGTGTTGACTCACAACTCGTCGTAAACCAAGTGAATGGGGAATATGAAGCACGAGAACCCTCCATGGCATCCTACTTGGCCAAGGTAAGAGAACTCCTCCCCAATTTTGACTATTGGTATCTCCAACAAATTCTGAGATCGGAAAATACAGAGGCTGATGCCCTTTCCAGACTTGCGAGCATGATTGACTCGACAAAATGAATGGTCTACATAGAAGAGCTACCTCGCCCCTCGATAGCAAATGGGGGGAGAAGAGGTCACCCATATAACTGATGCAGAAAAGAGCTGGATAGACACGATCTACAACTACCTAAAGCACGACACAGTGCCAAAAGAATAAATGCAGTCTGACGGATAGAACGATAGTCAGCTCACTATGTGATAGTAGGCGAGCTGCTCTACAGAAGGTCCTTTATGCTGCCCTATCTATGATGCCTATGGCAAGCAAAAGCAGACCAAGTCCTACATGAGATTTACGAAGGCCTCTGTGAAGGACAC